ACCTTACTTTCAAAATTAAAATGTTTTCAAATTAAAAAGAGTTTATTGGTCTGGATGTTGTTTTAATTTATAGTTGAGAGGAGGGATTGATCTGTGGCATATTCAACCTCCAACCTCCTGTGAACACACTTAGCGGCGGTCCGCTAAGAAAAATCGACATTGGATTCTATTCTCGATGAGACAACATAATCCGAGTTAGGCTTTTCCAAAACTTAAATTGATTGTTCTAACGACAATAACTATGGTTGGTCCATTCAAAAATCGGCTTTCGAAGAGTGATTTAAGAAAATCGGTTATTAAAGAGAAAGGCAAATTACATTGGGTTAGGCCTTGTATACTGTAACCGACATGAATCCTGTGGGAAAATCCATTTCAACGATCGAACGAAATTGAAACAAAGCTAGCTCAAGGTGATTTTCTCGTTATTGTTTTCAATCTTAATTTACATTTACATTTCCTTTTATTTTATTTTATTTCAATTTCAATTCTTTGTTTTTCACTTACTAATTTTCCTTGTCTCTCATTCGCCAAATCCCTTTTTTATTTATTTCTTTATTGCAGTTGTCGGGATTGAAATCAACACAAATTTATATAAGGGGTTTCTAAGTCCTCGTGGATCGATCCTTTTCTCCACTTTACTACCTTATTTCTATTATTTTTACTTGGAGAAGACGATTTTATTTGACGAGTAACACGATGCTCATCAAATTGACGCCATTGCCAATGACTTCGATAAGTTACTAATCTATTTTTTTGTTTTTAATTTTATGACCAGTCGCAACTCGGGAAATTTAGTAGAATCTGATTAAGAGATTGAAGCAAGAGCACGTAGAACCCACGACCAAATGCTTCGATGAAAGAAGAAACAACGAGAATAAAGTGAGCAATAATCAAATCTGGAATTCACCTCTGAGACACCATCTCACACTCAATTCCATGAAGAATCGGTGTTTGACGCCACCCTAACTACTCCAATCACAAATCCCATGCCATAACCAGAGCCAATTGCCAACTCGACGATTAGAGAATTAGCCACGACACTCGTCATTCAACATCCATTTTGTATTGCTTTTCCTAATGGCGAGACCTTTTTCAACTTAAGACGAGATTAATCCATCTCTTCCCTACCTATCACGATCTTTCTAGTGAGAGTTCGCATAAACATCTTGCGGAGTTCCACATGGTCTGCACCAGTATGAAGCCCTAGTGAGTGTCCGGTGATCAAATCAAACTTAGAGTTTTTCCTTTTTCCTTAGTCGGATCGGCTAAGGAATTGTTATTTTATTTACCACAAATTCAATTACTACTTGGGCTAAATTAACTCGTATTTTCCTTAACAGATTTTTCCCAGTTGCAAAAGCAAGCGAACTGAGGCGAAACATCTTAGGAATTCGACAACATAAAGGAGAGTCACTCTATGACTATTGGGAGTGTTTAAAAAAGCTCTGAGCTAGTTTTCGACAACATGGCTATCCGAAAAAAACGCTACTCCAATACCTTTATGAGGGGATGCTTCCGGAAGAAAAGAAAATAGTTGATGCTTCCAATGGAGGTGCCCTCGTCAACATGACTCCGTATGCAACAAGAAATTTAATTTCGACGATGGCTACCAATTCACAGTATTTCGACTCTCTAAGTGAACCCAACCGATAGTTTCACGAAGTAAGTGTTGTTTCACTTGAAAACAAAATTGATAAGTTAACTGATATAGTTAATTCTCTCATTTCATGGAAAATTAGAGTAACAAAAGTTTGTGGAATTTGTATGATGTCGGATCACCCGACAAAGCATTGTCCAATGTTACAAGAGGAATTCGGCGCACAAGTGAATGCCATAGGCAACTTTCTGGGACCTCCCCAAAGTCCATATAACCCATATGACAATACCTTCAATTCGGGATGGAGGGACCATCCGAACCTCAGTTACGAAAACAATAAGAGAACAAACCCAATTTATCAACCAAATCCCCATCCATTTCCCACTTAACCGCCACAAAAGTCCTCACTTGAATCTATAGTTGAGAAATTAGCCTTGTCCTAAGAAAATTTCCAAAATCAAACCCAAGCTTGTTTTCAAGAGCTCGAGAAGTAATTGAACCAACAAACTCAAACTGTGGATGCCTAGAATCTCAAGGCAAATTACCATCAGAAATCGAAGCTAATCCGAGAGAGAATATCAATACAATAACTCACCGAAGCGGTACCGTCATTTCACCTGAAATCCCAAAAGAAAAGGACGATCCACAAAATAAACAAAAAAGTTGAGACGCCACCTCCATCTATCTCAGGTAATCATGCACGACTTCTTTTCTTCTCTTTATGAAGTTTTGCCTCTTTTCCCTTCTAGACTAATGAAGCGAGGCAAGCAAGCGGAAAAGAAGGAAATTTTGGATATATTCAAGAAAGTGGAAATAAACATTCAACTCCTCGAGGTGATTCGGAAAGTATCTAAGTACGCCAAGTTCCTCAAGGATCTTTGTACAAATCGAAGGAGACTCGTTGGAAATGTAAAAGTGAACCTTGGCGAAAATGTTTAGGTGAATTTTCAAAAACGGATTCCACCGAAGTACAAGGACCAAGGTATGCTCGACATACCTTGCAAAATTGGCAATGTCGGAATCAAGTGCGCCATGTGCGACTTAGGCGCATCCATCAATGTAATGTCACTTTCAGTCTATGATAAAATATCCAACGAACCATTAAAAGAAACAAGAGTCACGCTTCAACTCACTGTTCGATCAATTGTCTACCCCAAGGGAATATTAAAAAATATTTTGGTGAAGGTAAATGATGTGATATTTCCTGCTGATTTTTATATAATTGACATGAAAATTGATCGCAACAATACTGGATCCGAAATTCTTCTCGGGCGACCTTTCTTGAGTACGACACACATTGATGAGTGCTTAATTTCGTCATTATTTTATCAATATTTACTTATTTATTTTTCAGTTTATGTTGCCAAGTTGGACGTTTTCTCTTATTTTATGTGTATGATATTGGATTCCAGAAACTATGCTAAAAATGATGAATTCTGCAAGTTTTAATTTTTTTTGGAATCATGATTAGACAAATGGGCATGACTTTAGGCATGACTCCACTGACGTGGCGATAAGTCAACATCTTCTAGAAGATCGAGTCAGCATTTTCGTGAAGACAGAAGACTCGGTCACAAATCTAGACGTGAATTTAGGATTTATCTTTATTTTTGGGATTTATTTCAAATAATTATGGGAATTATCCTTTACAATTATCTTTTGTAATTTTAGGAATTATCTTTGCAACTTTTTAGGAATTATCTCTTAAGATTTTGAGGATTTTTTAGGACTATAAATACCCTATTTGGGTAAGCCTCAAATCAGCATACACATCTCCTATTTTCTTTGTTGTTCTTTGCTCTTGTTTTTATAAAAGTTTTTACTTTTCTTTTTACTTTCAAGTTTTTATTCTTTTAAAATGCTAAGTATGATTTCTATCATACTTAGCTAAGTTTTTCATAAGCTAAAGGCTGAAGCGATGACTCAATTCTGATCGTGAGAATTGAAAAGTACTACATACTTTTCGGGTTACATTCTCAGCTTTTCGAAATCAATGATTGGTAATCGATCATCCTTTTAAAATTAAAAACATTTTCTTTTCAAAAAGTGTATGTTTGATTGATAATGTTTTCAATTGACAGTTGGGAGGAAAGATCGGCTTGAGGAAGTACTCGAGCCCTCTACGAGGCGTCGTCGCCCTGTTTCTGCCTTCCAAGTATCTATTATCAGCTGAAAGCAGGGTTCAGATTGTTTAGATTTAGATTAGGATTTCTGGAAACTAATTCTTGTGTTTCTCCTAGCAGTGATTTGATGCCATTAAGTAGGGGGTATTCATTTGAACAACAATGTTTGAAATTGTGTTCGAATTTTTAGAATTATATTTGTTAATGAATGAAAAACAATCTATTGATGATCTTAGTCAAGTTTGCAGAAAATCTCTCAAGATGTGTACTGTTAAAATTATCATTTTTGTTCATATTCATTTATTTATTTGATAAACAATCAATATTCGAATGATTTACGAGAGTAATTCATCAAATATTCTACTCATTTAGAGATCTAAGATCGAATTGAATACAAGTTTTCTAAAAGTCGATATGCAATTGCAAATCGGGAAAGAAATAAATATGAAATGAAAAAGGACAGGACATTTAGGTACTAAACACGTAATTTAAGCATTACGATTCTTAAAAATCTAACTATAAAAGAAATGTCTACTTTAGTACCTAAATAATTCTAGTCCGTTTCGGTACCTAAATCGTTTGATGGGCCAGAAATTGAAGTATGTTTATCGATTTGTTATTCTTTCGTGGTTCATCGGAGCTATGTCTCGTCAGTCGTCCATTAAGTTTTTAACGGTATAGCACTAAAATGAAACAAAAATTAAACGTTAGGTATGATTTAAAAAAAATTATGTACTAAAATGGACCAAAAGTGATAGTTTAAGTACTAAATACTTAGTTTACCCTAATGATTATGAAGTCGTGGAAATAAGTTTGTATTCGGTTTTGTTTTGGTCAATCCTACTATTTTTTTCAACATATTTAATATTATATTTTTATTTTATTTTGATCACTCATTAAAAAATAAATAAAATTATTAATGTGTTATTTTTTATTTGTTTTCATTGATGACATAATATTATTAATTTTTAATGTTTTAATGTCAATATTTTTTTAATGTTTTAACGAGGAATGATTGAATTAGAACCACAATATAACATTATATAATATTTTGAATAAAAAAAGTTAGGTAACCAAATCAGAATCGAGTGAGTAAATGAATGATTAAATGAGTAGTTTACCCTAAGTTTAATGGGAAAACAGAAATTTATTAAAACATTTAGTGACCATGGTGTAGTTTACCCTAAATAGTAAGCCTTTGTGTCCCATTGGTCGGCGTTTGTTCAATTGGGGGAATTTTAAGGATTAGGGTATAAAAATTCTTTACATTTTGCCGCTGTCTCCTTCCTTTCTTCTATCGCGAGAGAAGTCGTTTCGTACTACCAAAAACCTTTCAGATTCTCTTCTCTCTCTCTCTCACCCTTTCTCTTTCCCTTCGTTTACCATATGCTAAGAAGAAAAGGGATTATCTCTTCTTCTTAATTGATTGATCCATTCATTAATCATCAAGAAGAAGGACAAACAACAGAGGAGAGGCTGAAGCAGAGGTTTTTTTGCCCCCATCGTAAGCAAATTGGAAATTAATATCACCAGGGACATGACATCGCCGCCGCCGACAACAGCCGCCGGAGCTGTTAACGAAAGAGAGTTACCCGTTGATCCTTTCCTCGTTGAGGCTCTCCAGAACTCTCGTTATCGTCTCACCAGTAATTTTTTTTCGTTTTATTCTCAATTTCGTATTGTTAATAGTGGGTTTTTTTAGATTTTAGGATTAATACTATTCTTGTTTTTGCCTCTTTAATAGATCTCAATATACGTCGGCTATTGAATTTTATTGTGAATTTAGGGGTCTGGCATATGGGTTTTGGATTGGGTATGATTTGATTGGGGTCAATTAGGGTTGGGTTTCGTTTAATTTTGGAGATTATTTTTCAGGTCTGGTGTTTTCCTTTCATTGACTTTTATTCGGGAGAAATACTTTTTAGATTTGTTGGTAATTTTGCTTAATTATGATAGCTTAATATGTGGGGCAATGCATTACTCACCACATCGAAATCGAAGTGGGTGCTTTTTCTGGTTAATTGGATTCTGAAATGATTTAATTTTTTTATATTTGAGAGTTTTAGTGTTCGATTCCTCTTTTATATTCTATGAATGGCGTCTTCGGTTTAGATTTAACGTCTTTTTTGCTCTGTTTTTGTTATTTTCTGGGGAGCTAGTATTGCGGATGGAACTTGATATCCAGAGGTTTTTGCAAAATTCTGAGCAGCTGCAGCAATTTGAGTTCCAACATTTTCCCACCTCATATCTCCGGCTTGCAGCACATCGTGTTGCTCAGCACTATGGGCTGGTAACTATGGTCCTTGATAATGGCTTAGAAGGAAGCAAAATTGTGGTGAAGATAGCAGGTGAAATCAGATGGCCTGCAGTTCGTTTGTCTGAAATTCCTGCTAAAAACACAGAAAATGATAAGCCTGGGCAGATTAAAATTGCTATTAGGCCCAGCCCAAATAATGGATCTGTCAATGAAGCTAATCAAAGCGGTATCAAGAGAAGTTCTGTGAGAAGTGTGGAAGAGAGGAAGGAAGAGTATGATCGGGCACGAGCTCGTATTTTTAGTAGCCCTAGCACTCCTGATTCTGACGATTCTTCTCCTCAGGTTTCAAATGATGGGAAAAATGAATCTCTTATCAGAGATGAGTTGGAAAATTACCAGAGCTCTATGGTTGATCAGGAGAACATTACTACCGTCTGGGATGGTACATCTCGAGTAGCCGTTTTCAGAGACAGAGAGAAGGATCGTACTGATCCGGATTATGACCGTAGTTATCAAAGGTGGGATTTGTTCTCCTAGTATTTCAGAAATTTGGAAATATTCAGGTGGTTGATTGCTTTGTATCATGTAATGTTTTTGGCACAAACTCTTTAATTATACTAAATGTTTATGGTGGCTCCTTTTCCCGTTTTCTTCCGAAAACATAATGTAGGTAAAATGCAAAAGTAAAATTACCGGTGATGATTAGGGATGAAATAAGAATGATGATTGCATGATATAGGGGGTGTTTTTGGTCTTCATTCTTCAAGGAGGGGTTCTTTTCTTAATTCTAAACTAACTTTTTCTGAACTGATATAGGTATGTTAGAAGCATTCCATGTAATCAGAGTGTTGGTGTGGCTCCTTACAATATGCAGAAGGTTCAGCTTCCATTTATGCAGTATGATTCTGCTACTCCACAGTTGGGGCAGATCTCAATCACACAAGCTCCCCACGGTTATGGTGTTCCTGCTAGGCCGGCTGTGAGCCCTTTTTGTTACATGGGATTGAATCAAGCTTCTAGAAACGGTCCTTATGTGCACTGGCCAAGTGCTAACATGATGTATTCACATTCATATGATCAGTTTGTGCATGCTGCATTTCAGGTAGGCTCCGATATCTTATCTTATATAGAAGTCCTACTTCCATGTGCATGCTTTCGTGACTTCGTCTGGTTATTGCCGTTATTAGACTTTTTCTGTATTTCAGTTTCATCAAGTCCACACTTAAAATGACTCATTTGAATTGTATATGTGCATTTTATCTTTGGTTGCAGGCTCCATTTGTTCACCAACCACCTTTGAGCTATGATTACTCGATGAACGGTTAAACGGTAACAAAGAGTTTGTATCATGCAAAATTTTTCAATCTGTTAGGGCATAGTGTGGGTGAACTGCTAGAGTCATTGTTTAAAGACATGGTTAGACCATTCATTCCTTCGTGTTGAATTTTTGGTCGATTATATTGGTAGTTAAGGATTGTAACAATCATGCTTTTTCATTTTCGTTTAAATGGTGTTTGAAAACTTCTTTATTTTCTTTCTTTAATAATAAACTTGAAGGACATTGAACCAGGAACCAAACTTCCCCTTATTTTTTTATGATTAATTTTGATTTCTATTTTCTTTATTCTTCGTCTAGATGGTTGAATTGATCGTTCAACTTTTGAATCGAGAAATTAAGGTTTAATTAGTACGACTTCTGGTCCGATCCTTTATGCTTGTCTACTCCTTTAGGCTTGAATAGGGGTGTGTATTTTTGTATGCTTGGTACCGAGTTCCATATTACTCGACATATCGGTTTTTTATTGTTTTTACGTATGGGTTTTGTTGATGTCTTGGTTTATGTCATACATGAATTTGATCTATACAACATTTGGTGTTGATAAAAGAAAAATCCTTACCTAAAGACTATAGGAAAGTGATAAAGATTTTGTGTGGCTGTAAATGTATTTAATTTAAACGAATGTTTATTTTTGAGCGTGTTGGAGCTCAAAAGGTTTAAGTTCTCAAAATTCTCATTATCTTGGCCTTTCCATTAAACAGAGACATCATTGGCACATGTTTTAAATATACTCTTATCATCTTTCGGTTGACATTTAATATCCAAATTAATCATGGGTCGATAGAAGATTTTGATTAATAGTAGTAGGGTGCTTAATGTGTTCTCCTGACTCGGTCAAAATTCGAAAAATACTCGTCTCGGGTTGACCCGACTCGAATTTGAGCTCAAGACATTAACGAACCGAGTCGAGTGAATTTTAACTTGATTTGATAAGTTCACGAATAACTCGTTATGTTTTTTTTATAAAATTTTAGTAATCTTAAAATTTTATTTTTTAAAAAAATTACTAATTTATTGATAGATAATAAAAAGATAATAAGTGACTAATCTGTTAATTTTCTAATAAATAATAAAAATCTTAAATTATTAATTAATAATTATTATTTAACAACTCCCAAAAGTTCAATCATATTTATTATTTTAATATATTTTTGGATTGTTACTTTAGAGTTTAGACTATCAATTTATTGCATATATTTTTTTGATAATTTTTTTAGTTAAATTTATTAATTTAATTTATATTAAACTCTATATAATATTATTAGATTTTACATATAGTTAAAAAAGCAAGATAAAAACTTCGGTGAGCTTAACGAACAACGAGATTAATAAGCAACGAGGTGAGTAATCAACTTAACGAGCACGAGTAAAACACTATCCAACTTTTGAGAGATCTTCTCGCTCAATGAACACCCTTAATTAATACCATATTAAAACATTGATAATATTTTAATATAAATCGAACCAATTTAAAATTTGATGATCGTCGCTGGGTTGACCGGAGAGAACGATGATGCAAGTCATTTGATGATCGCCTCTATTAAAAGAGAATCCAAGGGTTATCCGGTGGAGCAAAAATAGCAAACTTTTGAGCTTTCGGGTAGAATTCGATTCGGAAAAGTAATCCGTCACATGGATAATCAAATCATGTCAAACTAAAACAAAAGATTAAATCCAAATATCAACATAGTAGGGACTAAAACGATTATTATCATACTTAGACCAGAAATTTTCTGTACACCCCTCCTCCTGAATCTGTGGACATACAACCTTAATCACCATACAATACAAGTGGACGTACAGTCATCGATGTTAAAAGCTGAATAAATCATCCGCTGCACCACGGAAAATAGCCGAATTCATGTGCCGGACTGCAAAAGAATGTTGCATGATTTGCATAGTCATGTTATATACACAGGTGAGAGTACATCACAATTCATGTAGATACGATCACCGGCCGAAAACGAGCATAGCAAAGATGAAACTTGCTCCATTTTAAGTCGTAAACTCAATCTGCATCACCGAGGCCATCACTCCCATCTCCTTTCTTTGATACGGGTGTCCAATGTGAGCCTGGTTTCTTCGTTTGCGAAGCTATTTCAGCATTCTTCCGCAGTACAGCTCCCGGTGATGGATATGGACGTTGTTGAAACAGAGGACCCTTAAAGAGTTCATAGACACAACAATCATTTGAAACATAAGAACTTTCACAATATGCAGCAATACATATAACAGTTCATACATAAGATCTTATAAACAGATTCAAAGAAAAATATTCTACCGTGGCGGTGGTGTCAGCCGCTCGCGGCTGTACTCCTTTCAGCCCAACAATCCTGCAGAGCCAAGATCAAATGATATCAGTTGACTTTAAAGGGTGCCTCTTTCGACTTCACACACCTAGTATTCAAACATGATGGCATGACAGCAGGAAAACTATTAATGCTAACATACCAGCCACCACGAGGAGCATCAGAGTAAGAGCTCGGATCCATTGGATCCAGCTCATCATCATCGTCGTAGGAGTGCTTCCTTTTATCTTTTCTGTTTCCTTTTCCCATAGGCGGTCTCCCACTGGATCTGCAAAGGCAAATATTTTAGCACCATACAGTTCGCGGAGAAGTAACAATGATGACCCAACAATCACCTAAATTCTAGAGGAATTTGTTTTAGAAAGCCTCATCTTACTTATGCTATCCATAATCCAAGCTTGTTTTATATGAACCGATTACGTTGGCCTTATCTACTTGTGTATGTGTCTTATTTTTAGACTTTTGAGAGCATGTTTTGGCAATTTGCATTTTGGACAATTGAAAATTCCATATTTTTATAGTCTCATTGTTAAATTATTGGAACTACAACAGGTTACAGGCTTTCACAAAATGCTAAAACTATATCCTAAACAGATTTATTTTCCAGAACCTAGACTACAAATTATCCTTAATCACACAATATATAAGCCCAAAGTTTATTTACCTCGCCTTCGGAGCCTTATTCTCATGATTGTCTTTGGCTGTTAACAAACTCTGGCTTTGTGGCAGATTAAGAACTCTGCATTCCATACAAGTTTTAGCTATTGTCAGTTTCAATTTGCTTTCCCTCAACAGTAGTGTTTAGTTATCCGCATTATGTTCCTCACAATTTCTTGTACCACAATGATGCAGTAAGAATATCTTGATCATCTTACAAATATTTAAAGAACAACTAGCATGCGAGGATTCCGGTTTTAGAAGCACTAAACATAATGGTAAAAAAGTGCCTGATCAGCATTATAATAAAGCAAAATCTGTTTCTGAAGACATTGCAGACCTTGTGCAATGATTGCAATAACCCCAAATCCGTACCAGGCCCACTCCCCAACCTCCACAACCAATGCATTTGTCCAAGTTTGATGATCGCAAAGCCGAATTCTCATTAACAGTATTTTCAGAAACCCTGCTTCCAGGATGCCGTGATGCAAATGGCTGTAATACATCAGGGCACTCCCATTGAGATATATGGGTCTTTGTATTGTAATAATATTTGTGCCCTGTTTATTTCCAGAAGAAAAAGGCAACCCTTAACTTTTCAGTACTGAATCAAAAGACGCAAACACAGAGGCGTTATCAGATGTTTCTACTTTCTACTTCTAAAACCTACTTTTTAATTATTTTTTTAACATCTTTTGAATAATATGAACTGCAATTCTGACTGCATTAGCAACCTTTCCATTTTCTTTGTCATATGTTTGACAAACAATACTAGTGTCCAATTGTCAAAGGAATGATAAGGCCTTTCAAAGTTTGGTCAACAAAAATCTTTAGATCAAACAACAAAAAGATATTGAAAAAACATCACCAATATTGCCAAACATAATGCAGGACTCGTTCTTTCTAATAACTGCAGCTTTACCCCAGAAGATTTTATGACATTTGCCTAATGCTGGTTTCATGTGTTCCTCAATTTCAATATTAGTATAATTCATCCAAAATAAATTAAATTTGTGGGGTCGGAAAATCAATCGGAATGAGGCGATCGTACAAATTTCTTTATACAACATACCTGTTGTTTCATCTACTGATTCCACCCAATCTCCCACAAGTCTTGTAGTATAAGAAATGGAAGTACTCGAAGATGTCTCTACAGGTCTTTCCCACTGACTCTTTCCAATGCTTTCATTATAATAATATGAAGCACCAGAGGAGGGATCTTTTGCTACCACCTACAGAGTCATGAAAGCAAGGTGGATAAAAACATGAACTTGAGAGCTTCTAGAAATAATAAGATAAAAAATCACAGCTAGTTAAGAAGGTTTTCATTTTCCCTCTTCTTCCTCTGGCATAAGGTTAAACCCATATGTAAATAGAACTCCAAAAATAAAGGAAGCCAGCTAGAAGTAATTAATTTGGATTGCAAAAGCCTACATGGAAATAGTTCTCGCAATGAAGTAGCTAATTACACATGTTAGGGAGCAAAAAAATAAAAGATGTTTAATAATTTGAACCTAAAAGAAATTGTCCAAAGGGACAGTTTGGAGTTCAAGATAGTCCAATTCCAATCCCATAATGATTATTATGCAAAAGCTTAAACATTGTAGCACCAAAAACTGAATGCTACCCCTTCCCTTATTTTCCTTCCAATCTCTACAAACAAGTTTAATTGACTTAAAAGTCAAACCTGAAAAGATTTACTAATTCCAAAAATTTCCAAAACAAGTGTCTTTAATTTTGATAGCTTCCATGATTCTGATAATCTGATGAAGTAAAATTCACCTTCCCTATGGATTCATATTCTAGCACCTCGTCTTCTAGTTCAACCAGAACAAAAGTATAACAGTTAATAGGATAATGGAGATATGAACTGACTGAAAAGTTAATTTGCGTGCTGCAATGACCTCATCTTGAGAGTGTTTTAGAAATTAAAAAAATTTAAGGCAAGAAATTGAAATCATGTTAATAACTCGTATACAAGTTTAATATAAAAGTTTATCACTTCATCCATACAAAATTAACATGTGTTCTTTTCCCATCATTTCCGGTTAAGGTTTCGAGCCTCTTAAACTTAAAATCATAATGATTTAAGAGAACAATAACAAAGAACTGAAGCAACCATAAACTCAAAGCTTAGTCACATGTCAAGAAAATAAAACGTACAAAAAGACAAAACCAATTTAAATCTAAAAGCACAAAGCTAGCCATTGATACATACCCATCCAGGAGGCAACTGTCCAGTTTCCACGAGCTGAGGTGCAGCAGTCTCTAAGTTCTAAAATCCGAAGGAAAAAGCAAGTTGTTGCATAGTTATTAGTAATTATTAACTAATTGGAGCTTATATATAGTTTACATATTATGAAGCTCGCAAAAAAATCAGAAAAGACCGTTGGCAAATTAGAACAGGTAAATTTCCAAAAAAATATCAAATAATGAAGTCTTGAAGCTATGCTTTTTATTTCAACACATCCTATGATAGGTAAACAATGGGGTGTGAGAACACAGAAAATAAACTTGCCTTATCATTTATCGATAGGTAAACTTCCGATGAACCATCTGTTAGAATGCCTCTAGCTCTCAACTTGTTCTTAAGGTACTCAGGCAAATCCTTAGACGCAGCCTTCGATTTTTGTTCTCCATAAAGCTCAGAGTTTTTCTCGCTATTATCATTAGCATATCCCAAATTTCCTGAAACATTAAACAAAACCCCAGCGTGGTTTAGCAAATAATCAAGCAAAGTCTTCAGAGTTCATTAATGGTAAATCTAACCTGGTGTAGTGATATTAGAACTCGGTGCACTATAGTTGTAAGCACCTCCACCAGGTACACCATACCCATTTCCGATTTCTAGGTTACCTAAAGCCAGAGCATAAAATAAACTTCAATCAGCTTTCTTTTGAATTACTCATCAAATTGAAGTAAATCAAAAAGTTTTCCACATTTATTGAACACCCAAAAAGCATACGGTCCTAAACATTCCAACTTCAACGCAAAAAAAGTACAGTGCTAAGCATTTTTTTTCCTTTCAAAAACTCCTCTTTTCCCCGGTAGGGGAAGTAGAATTCAGCTCACGTGAAGAAAAAGAAAAGGGTAACTATGGAATATGAACCTTGTTCAGGAGGGTTAGGTTTGCCACGCTTAGAAGCCATTTCAACACGATGTTCTGAAGCCATTTTCAGTAGATGCTCCTGTACATATATACATATATCATACAAAAAACCCGAAATTATGGCTAAGAGAAGAACATAGATAATCAAAAGGGAAGAAAAACACGAAAGCAAAATTACCCACTTTCAGAGCATTGGGATCAGGCCGCGCGGAGAAAAGGTCTCTGCCATCCGTTTGTCCGGTGGCTGCCTCTCTGAAATTAATCAAACAATTGATTAAAATATAGAAAAAAATCAAAAAAAATGAGAATCCCAAACAAATACCTCTGGCTCTGAGCCTGGATAATTTTCTGGGTGGCGATTTCCTGGAAACATAAGATTAGCAAATAATAACACAAATTAGCAGAGTACTTAAACAAAAGGGAAATTGGGAGATAGAGAGGGGGACGGGGAGAGGTACTTGTTCGTGAAGAACGACATGGGGCACTGGATTTTCGTTGTGCAAATGGTTTTCCATCTTTTGCACACCAACTGTTTGTTGAAATGCCTGACTGATTATAGTTTGCCGCTGCCAATGTGCCAACAAAAGAAGAGAAATCGATCCTTCTCGACTTTTAGTTCTCAAAAGATGCAAAACGAGATCAGGTCGGATTTTATAAGTTATTGTCAGATTCTATTGTTAGTCCCTAAACTATGTTTAAATCATAGATTTAGTCTCTATACTTTAATTTGATCAATTATAGTCTTCTACTTTACAAATTTTAAAATTTCAACCTTATTTAAAAAATACATAGACAATATGATTAAATTTTAAAATTTAATCATTTAAATAAAACGATCTCAATTTTTAAGGGATTTGTTGTTATTCCTTGAAGTTTCGGGTTTTAGAACCGCATATACTAGGGGTATAAGTGTTCATTATCAAAAAGTTAGTATTTGACGGATATCACCGTATTTTAGTCCAGCATTTATAAAAATAATCGAAATTTAAAAAAAATAAAATAATTAAGTTATAATGACTAATAACAAATTTTAACTTATAACTCGAAAATATATAATGCTCATCTATATAACTATATATTATTATATAAATATAATATTTTTATTATATATAATATATACCTATAAGGTTTTTGGAATCACATCAACTTAATCAAGAAAATTGTATAAAACCTAAATTCAAATTATCATAATAAACTAAATTCATGATATTTAAGGTTTTTATTTTTTATACACAACTAAAAATAACATTCTGCTTAAAAACATACTTTAATTCTTCTTCTTATTATTTAGATTGTAGGCTGAATTTTAGCATTTAAATATTTTTTAAATTATTTGATTTTTTTTGTAAAAATGTGTTTTGTATTATTAATCGAAGAATGCACCAAATGTTGTAAACATGGTTCTCGTTAGAAAAACCCCTAAACCTAATTGGGGGCTAAAGAGTGTACCATGTCCATGGGAGATGAGTAAGAATCGTTTTCCAACATCGACGCTAATTCTACACGATCGAACATAGCATCTATATAAAGAAACACCGAACACACTACACAACATGATGCATCTTCAACACACTCATCTACTATAACATGCGACAATACCAGCTTTCACAGGCAATTCCTTTACATCTCAAATCAGCCACCACAGCTACAAGTTTACCCGTAACAGACCGGGTAGCTACACCATGGATTCCATTCCTTTGCACCGTAACATCTGTCAAATACTAACACCCACAGTCGATAGGGTGACCTGATTTGATCTGAGGTGTCACACTAGAACCACTAGAGCGACCCACATTAGAAATACACGAAAATTTAATTTTTTATTAAAACATGTAAAAACTTAAAATAACTTATAAATAAAATACAAGTTCATAAATCATTCATATATTAAAACATAAATTCAATAATATATAAAATATAAAAACAAGTTTCAGACACTGATATAAAATCAAATGTGACCTACATGCCCCCTAATTACACATGTACCATACTCTACAAGCAACGCCGAAATAACTCCATTATTTATGTCTATACTACACAGGAACGATCCTTTAACTTGAAATGGTGAGTAATGTAGTGAGCTTTAGGAAAGTTCAGTAATACATTATTACCAGATGAATGCTAAAGGTCAAGTAGATATACAATGTAGCATGAAGTTTCTTTAGTTACTCAGGCATATACAGGTCATAGTAAAGAGTTGAGGTCTCACTAATTAATTCTTCAGTCATAAAGCTTACAATTTAGAGGGAACGTTCAGAGAGAGATCCAGAAGTTAGGAAGTCCAATGTGTTCAAACGAAACCATAAATAGTAGTTTATTTCAATAAAATAGATTTTTAAAACACAATCACATCCTCCACCCATACACCACATGCAGTTCCCCAGAACTACATTCATAAAGACTTACCCTATACCCGATGGGTATAAAAGTCCAATAAAAATAATCAGAACATAAAGGATTACCAACTAGATAAACCTCAGAACTCCATAATCCTACGCAATCAGTACCCAAAATAAATTTGTTTACCAGTCACCATTAATGTCGAAAATTGCATGCAAATATTTTTGTATAAGAAAATAAAATTCAGAGATCGTGTCCTCCAACCGAACATCAATATGCAGTTCTCCAGAACTGCATTCATAAAGACTTACCCTATACCCGATTGGTATAGGAGTCCAATAAAAATAATCAGAACATAAAGGATTTACCAACTAATTGAACCTCAAAACTCCAAACACCTACCCATACACTACCCCAATAAAAATAGGTTAACTAGTAAATAGAATATAAAAATCAGGAACCAAATATATCTAATATCAAAAACTAGAGATCATAAATCAGAGGTTAGAAACCAAAGATCAGAAACCACGTTTTATTTAAAATATCATATTCATGCTTTTAAAATCAGAGTAAAATATTTATGTGCCTAAGAAACACACTAGAGGGTCTAATTATATTTTCAGAGGAACGTTATGATCATCAAGAAAGGAAACATAAACCTCTTTAATTTGATTGGATTTCTAGAACGGGATCACTATTAAAAGGTTTGATTACCAATAGATTGAATCAGATGTTTAGAAATTGATATGTTAGGACCATTTGAAATTTGAGTGCATTCAGGAAGTTATTCATGAACCTTTACATCAGAATTATTTAAGATTCATATATAACTAGAGTGATTCCATTATTTATGTCATTAGGGGCATTTTAGTCAATTTACTACCAGGAGAAATCTTAGTAAAATTTTCCAAATAAAGGTAAAATGATAATTCACATTATGTCGAATGTATTTCAGGTCCTCAGGATTTCGAGTCAAATCGAACTAAACGGACCTCAACACTACTATACTTACCAATCATTCGGACTAACCTAATCCACGAATATTCACCTTGAAATACTGACAGTGCTAGTTGAGTTGATCACCTTTAGAGACATCATTAATCGAATCTCGAGGAGACGAGCAGGTATCCCTATGGTATTATTATTTCTGTATCATAACAATATCAAGAATGCCCAGCATGCTTAGACCGTGCTCCAAACCTTTAAGAACAGTACAACCTTTAGGTTTATCGGTGTTTTCAAAATTTATCCAATGACATTCACTTAATTCTTGGTCATGGGGGTAATTAAGTCATTTTATTTTATTCAAACATATGAATCATTCTAGTAATTTAGTTATCAGGTGCTTATTCTAAAAATTGAAAATTCTAATTCTTTTACCATCTCGGAGGCTAAAAATCGAAGAATTTTCTAAGCAAAACTAGCATTTGCCATGTAAATAAGTAGTTTAATCAGACCAATATGTATTTTCGTGGTTATTTTCCACTTTTAGGGACAATTATTGTCTTTGTACATCACAAGGGTATTGTCGTAATTTTACCCCATATGGGTATTTTTGTAATTTTACCTAACAAGAGTATTTTCATAATTTCTCATCCAAGTATTTTCGACACTTAACCTTTAAAGAGATAAATCAGAATTTACGGTTCATGAGATTAATTGATTAAATCACTGAGCTTGGATTTATTTCTTATTTGTCTTCTAGTTCCTTACACAAGTCAATCAAGTCTTATTGGGTTTATTGTTTTTATATCGTATTCAATTTGAATCCATCAATAATTAACTATATGTAATTGTATAATCATTTCAATCATGCATTAATCAATCACCAAGATGAACCATAAAGCATGCATATTACCTCGAGTTTTGAGCTATATCGATCCATTATTTCAACTCCATTTGATCATCCTTAGACTTGGATTTGACTTCTAAAAATATCTCGGATACATAGTAAAACAAATTACGTCAGAAATATAACTTAACTGGGTGAAGCGGATCATATTAGAAAATAAAGTAATGAAAAATAGCTTATCGGGTTTGAATTTTACAAAACGGATTTCGGATTCGAACTCAGGACATCGAAAAATATAAAATATGACTTAAAAAAATGACTTTTTGGTCAAAGTCAACGGTCAACGTGGCCAAAAGTCAAAGTTAATAATTCTGGTCAAAGGTCAATGAATAGGTTAACAGGCAGGTCAACAATCAAGAGACATGTCAACGGTCAGGTCAGCGGGTTGACTCGGTTTGATATGAGTTGACTCGATTGACTCGATCAACTCAGTCCGAGTTAACTCAGTTTCTAGAACGCTCGACGAAAAATGACACCCACGAGCGATAGTGGCGCGTGGCAGCGCGTGCGGTGGGCGACAGGGATGAGGACGACGGTCGAACGCTCGGAAGATAACCAAACACGAAAATCAATCCACAACAGCTCGAAATTAAGCCCAAATCAAAGAAATGGAAATCAGAACTTACCCATGGCGGCGACGGTGAGGGACCACGATGGTTGGGTTTTGGTCGAAAATGAGTGGGGAACTCAATGTCGAGGGCGGTGTGACATGACGTTGGTCGAATCGGTCTGAATTTGCAGAAGATTAAGACGACATGTTAGGGTTTTCGACGAAGCTTCACGGAGCTTTTGGCAACGATATACGACGGATCTCGACGAGTCATTAGAGAGGTTTTGGTCGAGCAGGAGCGGCGCTTCATTTAGACAGGCTGGTGACATTCGTCGACAAACGACGACGGAACTGAGCGATTAAGCAACCAAAAGATCTTTTTTTTATTTTACGATGATTGGCGTTCGATCGGGATGTGGGTTATGTTTGAGTTTCAAAATGAGAAAAAAGATAGTTTAGGTGCATTATTGATCTGATCTATAGCAATAAAAATAAATTTTAATATTTTGAAACTCAATAGTACCTAGGCTGGATGGCAGAGGAAGAGTGTACCGTACCTCATGTTAGAGGTTTAATCCTTTTGAACCACACTTTTTTTTTCATCTTTTGTGATTTGCAAATCAAAGCAAAAGGATAATTTCCCCATAAGCCATTGGTCTCTTTAAAAATTCATCTTTTAATCTTCAAACTTTCTTCAAGATTCAATTTAGTCCTCCCATGAACCTATAGATAAATTTAACCCCAATTTCAGGGTGTGACATTAAATATGATTATATATATATGTATTTGAACTAAAAGTGGCTAATTTCGATTAGATTTAAGAAAAAAATATTTACTTGAATAATAAATTTAACTCA